ATTGAATGGATTTTATAGTTGCATGTTATTTAGCACATTACCACTTTCTGGCTTCTTGTAATGTTTTGGTCTTTCTAATTTGCACGAGGGTTTGAGGTTTTTTTTTTTTTCGGGGTAAGAAGACAAGTCCTGAAGCCTTGAAAGGAAAAAACGAAACAAACGATCCCCCCTCGAACTGGATACCCCATTTGTCTGCAAAAACAATCAAGCCCTCCCTTACCACAAGACTTCCACACATGGGTCCCCAACTCAAGCTCCAGGCTGTAACCTGTAAGTGTGTAGCACACTAATTCTAATGATTAAAAACTAGACTGGATGGAGCGAATGGTCGGACTGTTGACCAGTTAGGCTAATGGAACTCGGTCAAGCTAAAAAAATTGTTGGGAGAGTTGAGCTGGATTAGGTCGCTTTGGATCAGCTTTTAGACTGGGAACCGAGAATCAAGTCAGGAATTGGATCCAGTTCTTAAAAACCAAATGGCTTAAAAAATACCTTTTTTTCTTTTCCTTTATTTTTTTAAATTTTTTTTATCAAATAATTTTTTTTAGTCATTTGATGTTATATTGTATCATATGATTTGTTCAGTCATAATAAACTTAAAATATTTGGTTTTATTTTTAAGTTAAGTAGCAATTTCATATTTATTTTTTATATTTAGATTATTATATACATATATAATTTTTTTAATTTAATTATTACGTCACCAGTTCAATCATGTTGGACCATGCGAACCATTGGCCTTTCCAACTCAATATTCGGTCTGATTTTGAAAACATTGACTGATTCCCCTCACGAGGTACATGTTTTATGCAGATCTGACCCTCTCTCCTTAACTCCCTCAGAACCAGTCTTATCAAGTTACACTGTTCAACTTCTTCCCCATCCACTCTGTTCTAGACTTCTCCATACTGCAAAATGACTGATGTGGTCTCTTTTTGGGTCATTAAAACCAAAGAGATAGGTGACTGCACCGTAACTGCTTTGACTTTCAGTTGCTAACTTTACAGTTGTGTCTGATACAAAGTCTATTACACAGTGGTACTATGAGCAATGGAAAATCCAGTTATATATCCTTTGACAACATACTCCTATCAGCCCCCATCTTAGTCTTTGTTTTCATTTCTCGTTACTAACTAATGTGGTCTCTGGTTTTCAAAATTTTGTAAACAGTTAATGTGAATCCAATTCTGATACTGTTTAAATGATGCGATAGCCTTAAAAGTGTCTATAGAGAGCCATTCCACTATGACTTCTGGGGCTCCATGGGACCATGAGAAACAAGAAAATAATTCATTTAGTAGAGTTCATCATGGATGAAAGTTCCTGCTGTTTGCGCGCCCCCCCCCCCCAAAAAAAAAAAAAAAAACCGCTACGAGGTATGATTCTCTTTTGAAATTTCTTGAAGCCTTCTGATAGAAGAATACTTCTGGGAGACTGGCGGATTCACCTACCTTAGCAATTCCTTTCCAGTATTTTACTTACTATTTTGCTAAAAATAAGAGAAATTTGAATTGGACCAAATACCAACATATTATCTCCACTCTCTTGTCTTGAATTTGTGACATCAATTTTCTCCTTCTAGCATGCTTGAGGAATCGAACCTAATTGGCTCCATATTTTAACTTCTTTCATAGGTTCCTTCAAGCTTACAGGAAATTACAGACAATTGGAGTTTACTAATTTCGCATTCCTCAAAGAAAGAATGCGATCCATTTCCCCTTGTGTATGATATTTAGGTTGAACTTGGTTTCTTTAGAGTGCTTAGCTACATGATCTATTCCTCATTAACTTCCACTTGTCAACACAGGTGCTTGTCTATCTAATGCTTTATTGCTATTCATGTACCTTGGTTTGAAAGTTTTGCTTGATGGAATTAAATTCGCTATCAAAGACTCGCAATGTGATTGATAATTTAAGTGACTATATTTGATGGGAAAGATGATCTATCAGGAAAGCATGTTTGTAGTTAATATTAATTTTGCTGTACTTGTACCAGAAATCTGCTTCCATGTACGCATGATAAGCTCAAATTCATCTGATTTTTTGTTTTGAAATTTTAAAATTTGCCAAACAGGCTATTTCTTCTTGGCTTGGAGAAGTATGGAAAAGGTGACTGGCGAAGTATATCTAGGCACTTTGTGGTGACTAGAACGCCCACTCAAGTAGCAAGCCATGCTCAAAAATACTTCATTCGTTTGAACTCGATGAATAAAGATAGAAGAAGATCCAGTATACATGATATCACCAGTGTGAACAACGGAGACATTTCAGCTCCTCAAGGACCCATCACTGGTCAAACAAATGGTTCTTCTACATCCAATGCTGCTGGGAAGTCAACCAAACAAGCCCCTCAAACTCCAAACGGACCTCCTGGTGTAGGAATATATGGTACTCCAACTATTGGGCAACCTATAGGAGGACCCCTTGTCTCTGCAGTGGGCACCCCAGTAAATCTTCCTGGACCAGCACACATGGCATATGGGGTCCGAGCACCAGTGTCCGGCACAGTTGTTCCCGGTGCCCCAATGAACATGGGTCCAATGCCATACCCTATGCCACACACATCTGCTCATAGGTGAGGTTCTAGTATTGGTATTTTAAGGCCATATGTACAAAGAAACAGCAGACTAGCAGGCCTATTCACTTTAATTTAATTCTTTCGCTAGACAGTTGAGTATATCATGCTTGATCAGTGATATTCAAATAAGCTTAAGCTTCACTACGGTGAAGCACTGGAATGAAATGCACATGAATCTTTATCAGCTGCACTAGAGTCCTTGGCAGTCCTGCCACGTGATACCATAAAAGGATTGGTTGCTCTGTAGATCTTTAAATTGATATTTTGTTCATAGAATTTTCTCCTTATGTAGAGGAAAGTTTCATGGCTTTAAATTTTACGGCACCCCTCACCTCTTCTTCATGCAAAACGACTCTGCAAATTTCGTGAGGTTTACAAGTGTACTGCCGATGCGGTACCAAGTTATGCACTCGATGTGATTTTAGATTAAAAATTTATATGCATAAGATCAATAGCCTATTTTTAAAATCGCCTTTAAAAATAATGATATAGACAATCTCTAAAAGTAAATTTACTCAGAAATCCGAGGAGATTAGATTCATTTATATTTATGCAAGATTATCTTATTAATTTTTTTTAATAATCTCACTTTAACAATGTCTCCTAAGAATCCAATTTCAAAATCAGTTTTTTTTTTATTAAGTGTACTTTTTGGTAATAAAAGCCGCGCATTGTTTGAATAAAAGTGAGGAATAACCTAAATAGCAAATACCTCTCTTGGTCTTATAACACTCCACTGTGGTCTGTGCTTTGTATCCCAAACTATTTAAAATACAAGTGCCTAAACTTATAAATTAGGCATCTTTCTTATGTGCTCTTTAAGTTACACTTAGGACTTTAAATTTTCAAATTCAATTTAAAAACTTTAATAGTAATTTTCTAGTGTTAAAATCCATTTTCCAAACTTTTTTATGCTTGATTTTAATATAAATTTTCACTTATTCTGTCTTATAAATCACTAGCCAAATAATAACAATAACAAGTCTTATCCTATTAGTTGGAATGGGCTAAAATCACCAGCCAAATGCCCCAAGAAAATCATATTCAGATTCATTGAATTTGTCAACCAATATTATGTGAAAGACACTAACTTTACTATATCTACTGAATAAATTTCCTATACTAAATAATAAATACAGAACATGCAGACTTTGTTTTTGGTAAATTATTAAAAAACTTAAGCATACACCTACAAAATTAAGTGTCCCATGCAACCTTTGATCTGTGAAACGGTATTTTTATTTGGGTTACAAAAACAGCATTTAATATCGATTTTTGAAGGGAAAAAAACATAACTTTAAATTTTTTACATTTTACTTGCACTTTAATTTTCATCCTTGTCTTTTTTTTTAGTATTTTAAATTCTTATACTATTGTTTTTCATTGTTTTAAATATTTCCAAAATCTCCACATTTTATTTATAAAAAGACTTAAAATAATAAAAAATAAAAATATAAAAACCTAAAACGCTGAAAAAAAATCAATGACAAAACGTTACAGAAATACAAAATTATGTCCTCTCTTGATTTTTTTTTTTAACCAGAATTTCTTACTGATATATCCCAATCGAGATGTCTGCTAAATTTCTTCATCTTGGAACCAGTAAAGCCAATAAATTAGCATTTGATCCAACGCCATAGAAAAGTTGAATAGCTAGTTAGCAATTTAGCATGCAAGCCTAAACTCAATCAAAACCAAAGCAAGCCCCAAGCAGAGGACGCCGCAAGTAGAATCATATAAAGATCATTCTAAAACGATTAACAAACCAATCACATTTGGAAACAAACGATACCCATCCAGCAAACCCACGTTTAAAAGATATATCACGGAGGCACTACCAACAACGATCTCAGCCACCACATGATATTATATCAAACAGAACGTGACATCAAAACAGTGAGAACGCATGTTGTAAAAAAATCTATACACTAGCTCCAGGAACAAGAAAATCAGACTCTGCTTTATTGGGGTAAGGGAAGAAAAAGCAAGCCACCAAACAGTGTTCACAGATAACTGCAAAACTATCATCCTCATCATTCGCTATGATGTTCAAGACATGTAAATACAACTCTAACACACGCAGTACTGAAATGTTGCAAACACACAAATACACAATAATCTAGTGACTAAAACAAAACTGAAGCTAGAACACTACCCAGAAATCATCAAATTATGAAAACCAAAATACCACATGATCCCCGAAAAGAGAAGAAATATTGATTGTTGAAAGACTTCCAAGTTCAATATCACAATTACTCTGGTATTAGTTCGTAGAACAATATACCTGGAGTCAAGTTAAATCAGTCATTTGGAATGTGTGATTAAAATCAATTTCTTGGTTCTTCTTCACACACACACACACACACACACACAAACATGTCAAATAATTCAGTAATCACTATAAAGAAACAAAAGTAAATCATTTTGAAAAGAAAAAAAAAAATTCACCTACATATTTTCATAACTTGATTTAATTGACATAACAGCTAACCAACAGAGCTAGCCTCCGGTGGGTGTCCCAGATGCGAGCTTCAGTAAAGGATCACTAGTTCTAATCTTCCTCTTTTGTACCAGCAAACAATAATTTAACAATACAACATAAAGCAACCACATGTCAGCCCAAAAAATTACAAAGCTCGCCAATAAAACATATGATATACCTAACAGTAACACAATCCTAATTGCCTGAAGATTTGGTTGCCTCCCATATCAAACTAGCCTCATCCTTGACAAGCTCAACTCGTTTCACAAACAGCTCCAACTCTGCAATTTGCAGTTTCTTCCACCTGTCATCCAACTCTGCCTTCTTGGATGCTCCAATCAATTCATATCCCCTCTTAATAACATCATCATCCAACCCTGACAGGCCCAGACTTTTGTTAAACCTAATCATTTCACTTAAACTCAGCGGCGAACCTGCATGCGGATCAATGTCTATCTTTCGAACTTCCTTCGAATCTGAAACCAGATCAGGCTCTCGTTTCCGAGAAGCCACGACACTGTTACCTTCCTTCTTATTTTTCTTCTCTTTCCCATTTGACTTTGTAAGGTCTATCCCTCCATTGGCTCCTTCATCAGGCCAGATCTTCTTAGACAATTCAAAGACTTTCTTGTCGTATGGTTTGGAGAAACTGGGGCCTTCACCATTCTTACCTTTTTGGGAATTTTTCACGTACTTTCTCTTCAATGTCCTAATCTTATTAGCCAATTGTTCATTTGATACATCAACATGTACCGACTTCTTTATGAAATCGTGAAATCCATTAATATCCTTAAGCGGGGCTTCTCCTGTCTTGGCTGCATATTCCGCTAAACCCATGAGGATCGCAATCTCGTCGTCCTCGCTCCAAAGCCTCTGAAACAGCTTCTTGGACTCATCTCCGGCCTTTCTCCCATCCTCCTCCGCCGCCAAGATCTCATCGTTTCCACCAGCATCCTTTCCCTTCTTTGCCTTTTTTGAGTCAGTGGCCGGTCGATTGTTATCACTTGGTCGCTTGTTAGCTGCTTTGGCCGGCGTAACGGATGGCTGAGATTTTGACTTCTTTCCTTTAGGCGTCTCTCCTTTGGGCTTGGAGGCAATGGGTTTGACAATCAGATCCGCATTCTCACTGGGGCGCTCATCATCGGAGTCAGATTCGGCATCAGATTCAGTCTCAGAATCCGAAACCGAAGCTTTTGGCTGAGATTTTGCGATTGGGGCAGCAGGTGGAGGCTTTTTGGAAGTGGGCTTCTTTTCAGCGGAAAGAGGTTGTGTAAGTTTTGAAGGTTGATCGTCATCTTCAGATGAAGATCCAACTTCGGATGAAGCTTCCTCTTCTTCGGATGAGGAAGAAGCTGAGGGCGGTTCGTCCAAAGGAGAAGCACGTTTCGGCGCCATTGAGGATTAGGGTTTCAGAAGCTAGGCTAAGTGGCTAACCCTGTCTTTCGGCCTCCTCAAAAAAATATATTATTCTTCCACTATACGCTTTTAACTCCTGAACCTCAGATCAAAATCTGATGAATGCATCTAGCAATAGTATTTTTTTCCCCCAATAAAATGCATTCAATTTTTGACCATATATATCTAATTAAAATTAAATAAGGATTATCATATCAAAATTCAAAATCACGAAATATCACTATTCTTACCACTATAGCAATATCAATCAACACACACACACACCCCTATTAGTTGGTATAATATATATTATATTTATATCTATGTATATCCTTTTGCCTTTAATAAATCATTATCATTAAAAGGGTGTAATTTAAAAGGCATGACCAATAACAATAGAAATTATCAAATTAAACAAATGTTTTTCTGACGAGGGAAAATAATATAATATCCTTGCGATTTTACCTCACTGGTCTTACGTCGACTTTTCCAATCACAAGAGTTAATAATGTAAACTCAATAATTTCTTTAAAATCCGGTATAATTATCTCGCAAAAACTTGACATGCATAAATCATGCATGTCACATGCATCTGTCTAACCAACGTTTATTTTTCTTGTATGCCTGATAATTCAATATTGTATTTCACCCGTTACTACGTTACTACATGACATAATGAATAAACCATGTAAATATCACCCGAAATAATGAATAAATAAATAAATAAAAGGCGATAGATTCATTAACGAGATGGGATAGAAATATAATTTATAGTCATCGCAAATCAATCCAGCTAGACAAATGAATTTATCTAAAGCGTCAGATCCAAGAGGTTTAGATATTCATGACTAGCAACTAAGATATCATGATGACAATGAAGAGTATAAGAAGAAAACAAATGGAATGATATATATCCTCAAAAGATCTATACGCTTGACTTTCATTGATTTCAATGGATGCCTCACTGGTTTCAGAATCAAAGTACGGACTTTCAATTACAATGTCCTTGAACTTTTGTATCTTGCAAAAGTATTTTTGACGCTGACATCACTTTTGACGTAAAAGCCGCCAGTTATGCTAACCGGAAAATTAAAACCATTTCAAAATCTCTTCTTGGTGGTCTGAGGAAATGGTTTTTTTCTCTTTAATTACTTTTATATATATATATATATATATATAGTTCTTTAATATGCTTTTCTTATCAGAGGTAAACTTAGACAATCTTGCATCAGAAAGTTTCATTGCCAGCTGGCCAGCACAGAAACTTTCTTTCACACCACCACTGAACCACATGTAAGGGAAATAAAATACAAGAGGTTTGGCTCATCAAAAAATACAAGAGGTTGGATAACACTGACAAGTTTCCTTATTGATGCAAGTTGATTCCACCTTTATACCAAATCTTTTACATGCTTTTATCAAAGTTGACATGCATACGTAGATGATATCTTTTACCAAAAGAAACCAAACAAGCTGTCCAATTTTTTATATCAACTTTCTCTTCTTCTTGACTATGGATATATGAGTCATCCCACATAAAAGTCAAGGTTCACCTACTCACCTTGCATTCTTCTACATAACGTTGCAGAATACAAGATCAGCGTAAGCGAGCAAAGTTCTTTTGGCTAACATCCTTCACAAATCTCATAGAAGGCATATTTTAGAGAAAGAGTGATACAAAAAGGAAGGCCTCGCTTCTTCAGCAGCTTGTTATTGGAATTCCAATAATCTCGAAGAGATATTTGCCTCATTCAGCTGGCCAAAACAAGTTTAACAAAAATTCGAATCAAAGTAAGCGATCCTTCCCTTACAAAACTTGTTTGATCAATCCTTTCTGTGATGTTTGATCATCATCTAATCCTAAGCATCTTCATGTTTCCAGGTAAAGCAAGTTCGGTTCTTGGGAGGATGAACAAGTTTGGGAAAAATGCTGACAGTTTTGCCCATGAAGTGCGAGAGCATGGTATGAAAGTCTTAAGTGACTTTTAGATTTTCCCCATGTGAATTTTAAAAATGCCTTTGTGAAGCTTAAACCTTTTCTTTTCCTACCCTCCATTATTCATTGGCCTAAACAAGTTTTTCAAACATGTATGTCAAATAGTCTTTTGTGATTGAAACTTGCAAATGAAGTGTAAATTATCTCTTAAAACTGCTATTTTCACTTGCAGTGAGACTGGGGCCAAAGATAACTGATACAGTAAAAGGTAAGTTAAGGTTGGGAGCTAGAATTCTTCAGGTTGGCGGAGTGGAGAAAATATTTTTGCAATTATTTAGTGTCAAAGAAGGAGAGAAACTGTTGAAAGCATCACAGTGCTATCTATCAACCACATCTGGTCCTATAGCAGGACTCCTCTTCATATCCACAGAAAAGGTTGCTTTTTGCAGTGACAGATCCATCAAGATCACATCATCTGAAGGGGAAGTGATTGGAGGAGTCCACTATAAGGTGATTCTCACAGTTCTGCACAAAACATCACTGAATCTTGTATTATCTTTTGTCAAGCTTTGCTAATATACATCTTCAAACCTATCTCTCATTTGCAGGTCTTGATTCCACTTTTCAAGATAAGAAGTGTTAACCAAAGTAAGAATGTGAAGAAGCCTTCACAAAAGTACATAGAAATCATTACCTTGGACAACTTCGAATTCTGGTTTATGGGTTTCTTAAATTACCAGAAGACTTTCAAATATCTTCAGCATGCGCTTTCTCAATCTTAGAGGAAGATAAAGAAGAATTGTAATTTTTCGCACCCAATGCTTCATCAGTTATTATTTTGTGGAGCAACAAAGGGTCCAATGTATGTTTTACTATTGTACAAAGTTTTGTTGATAAGAAAAAGCAACTTTCTCCTTCAAGTTATGGTTCTTTCTTTCTTTCTTTTTTTTAATGATTTAATTTCAGTTTCCTGAAAACTTCACACTTCAGAGAATTATAGCATTTACACTTTAAATAATGGCTTCATCCAGGACTGTCCATTTCTGTTAAAATCAGAATGGAATGGATATTCAAAATGTTATGGCATGGAGCAGAAAGTTTCTTTAACAGACTAAATGTTACCCTCAAGAAAGGCCCTAAGCTATGGTACTCAACAAACCCCACTAAAATAATCAAGAGAAGCTACACTAGATGAAGCCAACAATGATGACAACTCATAATAACATGAAGAAGAAGAAGAAGCAAAAAAGGGCATTTAACTCGTAGATTGATTGTACCCTCCTTTGTTACCATGCATAAATTGGTGGTGATTCATTGCCAATTCAAGGACAACTAGGAATTTATAATTATTCTTATAACAGTCACTCATCCCCACTCCGCATAATTAAAATAAATATAGCCAGCTGGATTAGTGTTTGGAGTTAAAAATGGACAGGATCATTAAACCTTAATTATTTTTAAAGAAAAATGAAAAAACTTCTCCCCCTTATCTTATCTATCATCGGACCTAGCTTCAATCTTGGCTATTCCATGCAGCAAAACATGGTGTTTGGCTCTCGTGGATGGTGGTGATGGGGAAATAATTAGACAAATTTCCTCTTTCAAAAAACCTTAAAGCATGTCTCAACTTGCAGTCCCAACCACATGATGTCCATAGCCACCTTTAATCTTAATTGCTGACTCAGAATGTTTATTGTCACTGCCCTGTCATCTTCGTCACTTTATGATACTGTCTCATGACCCGCCAAACAGCACTAATGCATAATTATTCAATTGTTGTTTGGAACTTTAAAAATATTCTGAGAATAACGTACACATTAATCAAGATCAAATCTCCGCTGACCCATCTTATGAACACATCCCACTTCGATTTGTTGCATTTGGCTTTAAATTCTTGAAAATGAAGATCAACACTTATCCAAGAGCAGCAAAAAGGATGGCTTACAATCATAAATTGACTACAACGAATGTACAATAAAGAGGCAAACCCTATACACACACTCTTTTGTATCACCATTTCTCGGATAACATAAATGTATTATAGGAGCGGATTTGACTTCAAGCTACGATATGGAAGGGCTTGTCTGTGATGACACTTATGCTTGGATCAGAGCATTATCATGCATGCTGAGGTTGAGCTTGAGACAGATTCTCCTTCGGCAATGCATCATATCAAGATGGTGACATTCCTACTCACATTTTGGGACATGTTATGGGAGAAATTCACAAACTATTGGAAGAACACTGATAAGTGCTTCACCGTTTCTTTTGTTTTTTTGGGCTTTCCACATATACCTAAATGATCTCTCAAACAAATAAGGACCTTCAGCTGAATATTCCTTAACTATGATAGTTAGAACCCGAGGACAAGTATAGACAATGATAAGAAACATTTGAATTACCTACCTAAGCATTTTATACTGAATTCTCCAATCTGACATTAACTGTTCGCTTAACAAGTAATCGTGGGTGATATAAGCAAATGGCCTTTTCTCTTTACTTTTTCTTATCTTATCACAAGTAATCATAGAGAATTCTCGCATCAGAAAGGTGCATTTCCATCACAAAAATCTTTAATGACGCCACTGCAGAAGCATGCACAAGTGGGAAAAAGGCAAAAGACAAGTAGTATTTATGGAACCAAGGTGTTTCCTTATTTGCAAGAGGAACTGTTGACAAATTACTCTGTCATCTTAAAGCTTTCTGTGTACTACCGCATGACCTTGGTTGAACACTACAAACATTTCTCTGGGAAAAGAAAATATCTTTGTTGATTATCTTTGCTGATATTAGACTTCCATGATAAGGATCATTGAACCTTGGAGCTTTTCTTATTAAGAACATTTTCCACTTTCTCTTTCTTTGGACCTTGTTGTAATCTTGCTTTTGAAATCTTGGAGGTTCATGTGGGAATGATTTGGTTGTATTCATTTTCATCAAACATTCCCACCCTCACATGGTATCCATCTACAGTTGACCCATCTATTTTCAAAGAAGCAAAATAGAACCAAATTAACGGCAGTACATGCTAGGTTTAAATTACAGTTAGCTACCGTGATTGGAGTTGTAATTTTGTTGTTTGAATAAACATATTTCATAATCATATCAGGCTAACTGTGAT